GTAGCTCCTTAAATAGGAGATTACAGAAGGGAATTCCTAATTAAACTCAAACTCCAATTTGAACTCAAACACCTAATTACCTATTCCTACTGGTAACTCACTCTTACTTAAGATAAAGATAAAGATAAGATTAGATAAAGATAAGGGATAAGGGATAAGGGATAAGATAAGGATAAGGTAAGCTGGTGGCGAGTTGGCATATTCAAATAAGGATGGGCTCACCCCTATGAGCTGTCGCGTGGACCCCGCCCTGCTACTGCTACCGGGTGCATGCGCGCGGCTCATGGTGCCCTGCCGCGCGTGCGGGCGCGCAGTGCTGCTACTGGGTCGTTCAATTTGCACTCCCTACTCCATTGCAAGATGTTCTCAATATATAGTTGCAATAGGTGTTGAGACTAGTTATTGGGATTATCTGGAGGATTAGGCACTTCGAGTTAGAATCAAAATCAATTATCATGCCAATTCGTGGATAAAGAACTTAGGGTCCGTTTTATTCAAAGTTAGAATCAGAATCAAAATCCTTCGAAATTGAAATGGTTTATTCCCATAGTTTGTTTGGTTCAAACAGGAATTGGAATGGAAATTGGAATCAGTAGGAATGAGATTTCCTTCCCAAGAGAGGGAAAAAATGAGATTTCATTCCCAAGTGAGAAGATGCTAACCAAACAGTTGAAATTAGAATAACTCATTTTAAGTCCAATTCCAAATCCCTATTCCTTCAAACCAAACGGGGCCTTAGGGCATGAATCTACTACCAATACAACGCTACCAACAATGTCCCAACAAATCACGGCAGAGTGCAGCTGTACATCGGAGACATCACCCTTTATATTCATGGGAGATGCTCCCAATGTGCAACTGCAGTTGCCGATTGGACATGTTAGCAGTAGATCCGAATCCAATAACTTATTAGTAATACATGGGAGAAAAATGATACAACAAATATGTGTGGTTACACTTGTCCCAATAAGCGTGCCTCCAACCAATACTCGTAATGATTTAAGCACACTCGTGAGTAGGGGTGTCAATGGACCATTTTTTATTTGGACTCCATTCAGATCAAAATCAATTTAGATGGATTAGATGGACCAACATGACATATTAAATTAGACCTGTTCAGACTTAATGGTCCAAAACATTTATTGGATTGAATTGGACCTGGTCCATCTGTAATGAATTTATATTAGATTGGGTCGGATTGAATCAAATTGAACAGATTAAATGGTCCAGACATTGAATTAGGCTGATCCAAATTAGTCCAGAGCATTCATCAGATTATATTGGGCCTGATCCATTTATAATGGACTCATCATAATGGGTCAAATTGGAGTGGACCAAATCCGGTCCAGTTGACACCCCTACTCGTGAGACTGGTACTATACATTGATTGTGTGCCTAGATCTAAACTAAAGCCATATATATTTTTCTCATTCTAAACTTCTAATGGTAAAAGCACCCAATCTATTTCAAATATATAACAATAATGTTTTGGTCTCTCTCCCTCTCCCTCTCTCTCATTGGCAAATAAGGTGATACACAAGCCTGGGTAGCATATCCTCTAAAATCTGTTTAATAAAGGAACAAGAGATAGAGAACGTTAGGAAAACTAGAAGAAAAAACAAATTTATCCTCAGGACCTAGTGTTGGTTTAGTTACCTGAATGGTTCTGAGATAAAGCTTGTTTTTGTAGTTTTGGGCCCGATTTTCCTTGTGTTTACCCTCTTATTTAACATCTCATAAAATCGTTGGGGTGGTTTGTGTTAACAACTGAAGTGTTTGAACTGAATGAATGTTTTTTTTTTTATTTGTTTATGAAATCGTTATATCAGCAAAAAAAAAAAACATGTTCTTAATTTTATTTTTGTTTTCAAAGGAAAAAATAAATTCATTTTGGTTCTAAAAATAATACATGTTTTTGGAATCAACAAAATGTTGGTTTTTAAAACAAAAACAACATTTCTAGTATAGAAATTATATGTTTTATGGATAGGGATGCAAACGAATCATATCGAATTCAAAGATTCGAATCCGATCAGACACTGTTTATGTCGGATCGGATCCGACCGGATCTGATAGGACTCGATATGAATTTGAATCCTATCGGATCTTCGGATATGATTTACAAAAAATACATGTGTTTTTTTTTAATTATTTTTATTATATATACATGTTTTTTTATAAAAAATAAATAATATAACAAATTTATAAAAAGTACAATATAAATAAGATATTTATAAATAAATAAATAATATATATATGTATTATATATTTATATATATAATACATCGGATCGAATAAGGGGATCCAAATCCGATCCAAAGATCCGACAAGGGATGATCCGAATTCGACCAAATAGGATCGAATCGGATAATGGTCCGATCCATTTGCACCCCTATTTATGGAACATGATGAAGAATAATCAAATGAAAACATGTTCTTAAAACTAGATCCAATAAACATATTTTTTTGTTTCAGTTCTGAAAACAAAAAAACACTTACACAACTAAGAACATGTTTTTTATGTTTTTGTTTTAAGAAACAATCTATTTTCAAACAAGATGGTTTTCATTTATTTTTGAAATCGGTAACAAGAAAAATAATTCATGTTGTAGAACACCCCTTAATAAACAAATTATCAAGGACAAGTATGTTGAATTATCTTCTTAAGCTTAATTAGATCAATTTCTATAGCCTTTAACATTTTATTAATTAGTTATTTTTGCATTAAAGTAAAAACAATGCCTTTCAGTTTAGCCATTTCAGCCAAATGACTCCTTATGTGAATTACAGTATATTCATGAAGATTCCAATCCACCCTTTTTAGGGGGTGTTTGATACTTAGCATGGTGTGTTTTAATCCACTGCTTCCTACTTCACACTCTAATGTGTTATTTACTTTGGCATGGATGCATTATCATCAAAATTTTCAACAAAATATCTTGGTCGTTTATTACAAAAATTTTATATTAATAATTTATTCTAGCGTAGTTTAATCCACAAGATTCAACAATAGATGAAAAATTGCAATATACTCCAAGCTTTAGTATGATTTGAGCTGAGCTATACCCTCAAGGAAAAAACACACAAACTTCGTAAATACCGTGGCTCAGATTGGAACCAACCAATCCATGCTATTTTCCACAATATTGAACACTTAGAACTTGGAAGGATAGTCTCAGCTGTCCATAAGAGCATTGTGGGGTGTAATCGAGTTGAGCCAAGCGAAGTACTAGGTTTCTGGAGTTCGAGTTCAACTCAAAAACACAAAGCTTGAAACTCCACTGAAGCTCAATCAAGTTTCATCTATTTGGCTCAAAGTCAATACTCATGAGTTATTCAAATTTGGCTCAACTCGAGTCGATTATAAATAAATTAGTATTAAAAATTTTAAATATATTAAAAAGTATAGACAAATTAAATTATAAATATTATAAATAAAAATTTATTATGAAAATCAATTCTAGATATATTTATTTATATTATAAATACATTAATGTCAAATAACATTTATTTATATTATAAATACAAATATATTAAAAAATAGTATTTTATTACAAATTCAATTAAACTCACGAGCCATTCGAATTGGGTATTATAATTTGTGAATCTTGAACTTGACTCAACCAACTATATGACTTGAACTCGACTATTGCGAACTGAATTCAGATATTCCCAAGTAACTTGTGAGTAGTCTCGGCTTACTTAAGCTGTGTTTGATTTGAAGGAAAATCTTTACAAACCTTTTATAGGTTATTCTATCTTTTCCTTCCTTCTCCTGCCTTTTCCTTCAAACCAAACATAGCATTACATTCCTACTCCTTAATCATCACAATTCACAACCTACTAACCTAGGGATGATTATAGGCTAGGTCAGGTGGCCCACCGGGCTTGCACTCTAGGGAAACGAGTTTTGAAAGTCTGAATATAACCAAACCGGCCTTGGACGCAAAATTCAGGCCTATGCCCATAAATTTACGGGCTGGGCTGGGCCTGGAGTTGTTACCACAACCACGACCTTTTTGGAAATATCGCTTTCATTCAATACGATATTGCAAGTTGATGTTAGCACGGCCCGTTTATCATCAATTTRATGATTTTGATCCATTCTATCTCGGGATTCTTATAGCGTCATAGGTGAATTAGCAAGTAAATTTTAGAAGATAACAATGAACAGGGATTTTATAGTATGACTTATGGCTAACTATGGTTCATGGTCCACTCCAAGCCAAACACCACGTTAAACTCGAGGTTGTTGTTTGGTTTGAAAGAAAATTAGGAAGGAACAATAATGGTTTAGTTTAGCCCATAATATAGCGGCCTGGCCCAACTCAATCCAATACAGTTTTGTCGAGCTGGACCAAACCGGTTGCACCCTAGACCAAGGCAAAACGTTATCCCAAGGGGAAACTAGATGAATCCACCCCACTGACGTGTCTTCATCTCCTGTGTTATATCAGAGAATCCTTACCCTACTCTCTTTTACAGGACCCGAGTATTGTTCGGTCGCTTAAATCCGAAATCGAGAAAAAGCGTTGTTTTTTCATTCGAGCTCACTCGTCTCAGGCCATCAGCCATGGAAGACAGCTTCAGAGTCCGAGTTGACAGGGCGTTCGGCTCTCTATCCTCTTCTCCGTCATCCCTCGCTTCACTATGGTCTCTCACGGATGACGAGGTCGAGAGGAAAGAATGGAACCGAGAGAGAGATGGTCCTGACAGAGAAGACAACCCTTGCTCATCGTCCTTCAATGAGTTATTCGCTACCAACCAAAGGGCTTTCGAGAAGAACACGAGGAATCTCAGCGAGGAGGACCTCGAAGATCTCGATGACGACGATGGAGATGGTCGACGAGGCGGTGATGAGTTTGATAGGGAAGAGTGGGAGATCAGGTCCTCGATTGGGATGGACTGTACTCTTGATAAGGAGGTAAGCTCCGTTTCTACTGCAAGATTGGATTTTATTTCTGGTGTTATTTCAGTTAATAATTACTCTTTTTCCGTAGCAAGGTTTCAATTCTTTTTCAATTTTTAGAATTGAGGAAATTAAACATTAGAAGCAAACCCTAGCGTTTAGTTTCTGATGGAATAGAATCGTTTTAGACTGTAGTTGGATTGGGGTGGAATCGAAGGGGCCGATTCTGCCCTCTGTGTTATTTTTCGTAGCTGAACAGTTAAAACTGTTTTTTTTTTTTTTTTTCCTTTCCTTAAGCCCTTAATTCCATGTTTTTGTTGAATTTGGAAGTTTTGGGGATAGTCATCGGAATCCATGGAATTGAGGCGGCAGTGAAATTCAATTTGATTTTGTCTGGCAATCCAAAGATTGTCTCGGCTAGGTTTATCGTGTATTGGAAAAAGAGAGGTAGGTGCATTCCATTATATTTAAGAGATGTTCCGATTGCTGCTGATTTCGGACGTGGAAATGGAATAAAATTTCATCCTGCTTTGCATTCCATAGGTTTCATATGTCGAGACCCTTACAGATTTGAAATCTGAATTTTACTGGATTACGCCCACACAATTATTCTACCTTCCGGATTCCATGCAATGTTGTTTTAGAGAGGAAGGGTTATACTATACTTGTGAAACTGGGGTGCGAAAGACCTCCTTTGAGGCTTTGAGTCTGGTTGCGGCATTGTCTAAATGACCATCGTTAATTGATGTGGTATATATTTTTTTTTTCAGTGGAAAATCACTAGTGTTATTTTTTATTGGTAAAAAAATGATTTTAAGAGAACCTCCGCACTAGAAAGAGATTCAAGAGCAGGGGACACTACAACAGCTTATGCTGATTTGTACAGGAAAGAAATAAAATACACTTGACTTTTGGCTGATTTGCCGGGCTTGATCTGCCCCTCCTCCTCAAGAGAAGACCTTCCCTACTCACTCCTTCAGCAGTCATAGGGTAGTTTTAGAAATCCAGTTGAACGAGTTGTTTAGGCTTGAAGCTAGAGCTGTTGCTTCTTTATTGTCGAACTTGAGTTGGGGGCTTTGGAATTCAGCAACTAAATGAATTGAATACATCAACTAAGTATTGTGTACTGAAAAAATATACCGTGATATATAATGTAACAGTTATTATTAGAGTTGCTGAGGATGATTTGGGCGAGCCAAAACTTTTTATATGGGGGGTACATCCTTTTAGTACAGAAGTCTGTTTAAAGGACAGCAACAATCCTATATTTTGACTTTTTTTTGGTTAATAACAAGGGCTATTTGTCTTTTCAGTAGTTTTTTGTGTTCAAATCAGTTCCCATCAAGAAATATATTCATTCCATGCAACTTGCTTTCAGATTAAATATTACCTTTTAGCCCGTTTTGAATATCTTTGTATTAGGATTCCAGGCGAGAAATTTTATAAATGTATCTATTGGGGAACTTTGGGAATCATCATCCAAGCCATATCCCAAGTCCCAACTATATGGGGTCTGTTACATGAATCCTGTTTCACCATTCTGTTCTGTTTAGTTCCATATCCATCATTAAATCATTTCTTACAATTTCAACCTGTGTACCTTTTGGTCTTCCCCTAGCCCTTCTAGCCTTTTCATCTTGCAACAGATCACTTCTAAACTTTTTTTTTTTTTTTTTTGAGAAAGGTTAACTGAGATTTTATTAAAAGTTAACAAGAGAAGATGAACAGAAGCCTTAAGAGGCAGAAACAGAGTTACACAGGCATAGAAGTATCAGTAAACATAGATCCTCTATGGGCTACAGAGTTTAGTTCCCTAGGAATCGAAAACAACTTCACATTCAGAGAATCCAAAATATCTCTAGCTTCAGTCAGCATGAGCAAGTCTCCAAGGTCCTCCACTCTTCTGCCTTAGCCAATTTATCGTATTAGCGGAATCACCTTTGATGGTTAGAGAGGAAGGGCCGATCATCTTGATATAATGTAGACCTGTGAGAGAAGCTAAGATCTCTGCATTGGTGGCATCAGCTCTCCCAATTGGACCACTGAAAGCCCAAAAGATGCCCCCACGGATTACTCCTCCAATTCCTGCTTGACATGTGGATCCTTGAGCACTACCATCAAAGCTTAGAGTTATCAGATTCTCCTTCCTAGAGTGAAGAGTTTGAGTTAAATCATTTCCAGGAGAGGAGTGGAGGGCTTCTGCTAAATTTCTCTGAAGGTCATTTAGAGAAATATCTCTGAAAACTTCAGAATTAAGAGCCCAAATGTTGCATAAGAAGGTAATATGAGAGATCAGGTCTTCAATATTCCAGCTTTTGTTTTCAAATTCCTTTCCTCCCAAACACCCCACATCACTGCATGGGTCACCGTACTCCAATAGAGCTTACCCCTACTTCCTAAACCTTTTCCATTCCACTGTCACAGAAGATCCAAAACTTGCTCAGGAAACATCCAGCTGTATCCCACTAGATTGAGGAAGAAGCACCAGATCTTCCTTGTTATTGGGCAGTGCAGGAGTAAGTGTTCCGCCGTCTCACCATTATTGAGGCAAAGAGGGCAAACATGAGGGAAGATGCATCTAGGGGTGTCAATTGGACTGGATTTGGTCCAATCCAGTCCAATGAATATTTTGGACTGGTCCAGAGACTGTCCAATCTGTTCAAATTCCTGTTAATTTAGATTGGTTTCAACTCAAACCTGGTCCATTGACACCTATGTTCTTATCTTCTATTAATGGACCAGATATTGGCTCAATCCAATATAAATTCATTATGGACGGACCAGGTCCAATCCAATATGTCATATTGGTCCGTCCAAATTCAATGTCTTATTGGTCCGTCCAATCCGTCCAAATGGATTTTGATTTGGATGGAGTCCAACCCAAAACCGGTCCATTGACACCCTTAGATGCATCTGCCTTTGAGTTTCTTCTGTAACACATCATAAGTGTTTAGTTTTTTTTTTTAAACAAGCCTCCCACACAAAAAAGGAAACTCTTGGGGGAATATGAGAACACCAAACCTTCTTGACTGGGAAGGTGGAATCCTGACCATCTGATACTAGAGCCTTGAAATAGGTTTGCAGTGAACTTGCCATTTGGGTTAGGTTTCCAAATCCAAAGGTCAGGGGTAGTGGGGAGGAGATGTAGGCCTCACTAAGAGAGTTTACAAGGTCTGCAATTTCTGCAAGTTCTGCCTCTCGCAGGAACCTTCTGAGGTTTAAGTTCCAATTAGTTCCTGAGGGTGAATAGTTGAGGCAAGTGGAAACTGTGGCTTCTTGGGATTGGGAGAGGTTAAAATTTCTGGGGAAGAGAGTGCAAGAGTAGGCAAATTCTATTAGGTTTTGTCAACTGTACCTTTAGTATCATAACTATATTCTTTATACCTTTAGAGAGTTCTACTTGAATTAGGAAAGAAGGGGATATATGAGATTACCCAGAAGGAAGATGTGCATGAATGCATGTTAGGACTCGCTTGGTATTCTTTTATAGGATTGTCTACTTGAGGTGAAAGGTGAGAGATGCAAACTTATCAGTATTCTGGGTGGTAGGCCTTTAGTGTATCTTATAAGTGAGGCAGTTTTACCATGCTTATTTAAGGTATAGGCTCACTGCCTGGCCTCATAGCCTTTTAAAACAATGCTTGGTGGGTCACTGCAAATGGCATCTTGTTTATAATTCATCAATTAATATGTTCTATTTACTCATAAAAAAATATTGTTTGCAAATGTTTTAACAAATTTGAGAGTGAAACAACTGGTACTTGGCAGGTCATATTGCAGTTTGTGCTAGATTTACCATTTTTATTAGTAAAACCATTTAAAGGGAAAACTGGTTTACGGGAATGATTCAGCTAACCATTTTACAAGCATAGAAGCTCTCTCTAAAAAAAAGGGTGGGGTGGGTGGGTGAGGAGGAAAAAGAAATTAATATTGGAAAGGGGTGGACTGTGGGTGAATTGAAATTTGAGTCAGATAATAACTTAAGTTACATAAGATTTCAATTTGGAACTTGAATATTTTGTGTTATATTTAAAGAAGTTAATATTGGAAAGGGGTGGACTATGGGTGAATTGAAATTTGACTCAGATATTAACGCAAGTTACACTTGATTTCAATTTGGAGCTCGAGTATTTTGTGTTCTAGCTAATGTAATTTAAGACATTTTGCAGGATGAAGAGGATGAATATGACAAAGTGGCAATTGGCAAGGAAAATGCTGGTGACCGCTTGTACATGAGGGACGTTATTGATTATGGGATAGATGTAGACTCCTCCAATGTGGTTCCTAATTCTTTTGAGGAGTTCACCAGGGACCCACGTGCAAATCACCTGGCTGCAAAAATTAGGCTCAAAGAAGATCAAGAGGCGGCTGCAAGTACTGAATCTTTTCTGGCTGCACAAGCTAAACCAGCTGAAGTAGATCCTCAAGTAAAAGTATCCGAGGATGGTGGCTGCCTGAAATCTATTTTGAAAAGGAAGGAAAACCAGGCTGAATCCAAGTCACAAAAACGTGTCAGGTTTGATCCCGAATGTAAAGAAAATGATTCTGAACAAGAGTTGGAAGAAGCTGTGATTTCTACGATGGTGAGCCATTCAATGGAAACAGGTACAGTTTCAGAAGATAAGAATGATTCGTTCTCATCACAAGAAGCTTCTGGGATTCCAGATTATCTACGGAATCCATCTAAATATACACGTTATAGTTTCGATTCAACATCGGAAGTTGACGAAGGATCTAACCGTGGTGCTTATATGGACTTCCTTGACATGGTGAAAAAAGCAACTACTGGAGAGCCCCAACAGGAGGATACATGTCACGACCTTCCAAAATCAGTAACCTTTACTCCAAGAAAGAAGACAACTAATGTTGCAATGGTTGACAATAGCACTGGAATTAAGCAAAACCAGGAAGATGCTTTGAAGGAGTCCATGCGCAAGGCAGTCTTTCCTCTCGGCATTGCTGCAGGTGAAGCCCAAGAAGGTGATGAAGCCTGTATGATGGAGGAAGATGATCCGGAAACCCTTGCAGCAGATAAAACCACAACTTTTCGGAAATCAGGACGCCAATATAGGACAAAATCGAGGCCAGATGATTCTGGTTCTTAATGGGGAGTTGTTTCCGGTAAGGCAATGGGCATCCTTGTAGGTTCATGCATGTGTTTAAATTTGTAGTCACGTCTATACTAGTCCACTTTTTGTCCAAGTTCAGTTTATGGCATTTAAGTTTTTTTGACAAATAACTGCTAGCAAAGTAGCAATGTTAATTTTTCTTTTCGATTCACAGTGCTGAATCCATACCTCAAAAGAGGTAGATTGTTATTCCGGAGATTCATCACACCTGGTGCTGGTGCATCTACTGATCTACCGTGAGGCATCTGTGTTGGTGTGCTCAGCGCTGACAGCGGGTATTGGGGTGCTCCCTATACGTCAAGCTGGTCCACTCCTTACACTTACTGAAGCATCCTTACCTTCAGGTGCTTAGATTACTGCTAGTCGCTGTTCTCCCAACATGCACTACTCTCCTTGTTTTATTGGCGTTTGTATGTAGAAGTATGTTTGGGAATTGGCCAAGTCGCGAACATACCCAGCGGGCCAGCAGTCTCATGTCATGAATTCCCAGTCATACTATTCACATGGTAGCCATACTTCAGAAAATAGACTTGGGAAACCTTGCTCTTTGAAGTTTTTTTTTTTTTTTCATTGGTCAAAAGCAATATTAACATCCTGAGAGACGGAAGGATTAAGAGGCAGACCCAAGTCCCAAGATTCCAATTCATTTTTTCTCATCTTTTCTCACTTTCTAGTTTCATCTGAGAGAAAGGGAGGACCCTTTATTCTTCATATTCATAAATTCATATACATGAGATGGACCATGGATGACGGGCGGACATGTTAAGCATCTGTCCTGTTCATCATAGTTGACACAAACGCTGCCGCTTTTCTTTTCTTCTATGATCTTTCTTCCCTCTCTTGTTTATCAATGGATGTAGGGTTTTAGAAGACGAAATTCTAATCCGACGAATAGTTTATAACTTTATATGATGGTTTGATTTCATTTTGTTCATGTTACGTAGAACTGTTTTACTTGAATGATCAAATTAATGAACCGTTATCTAAAAGCTAAAGTGGATCAACCACCAATCCAGGTTTTAGGTTTTAGAACATAGAGCCGAATTGGCATAGAGAGATTAGTGTAACGCACACCATTGTTAGCAACAGTAGAAAAATGGGAAAACACCAAAAAGGATGTTTCTCAGATCACAGCTTTCCGAATTTTGAAAAAACGGCTAATCAAACAGTGGGTATTTTCTCAGAAAACGAATTTCTGATATGACACCATTTTCCGAGGAAACGGCATTAATCCCAAGATTAGGATGTAAACTGGACTGTTGTCAATTATATACATTTCAAAATGAGTATGGGTAAAAAGGTATTTATACTTTATTTTTTTTAATTGAAAAAGCAAATGAAGACCTGAATTTAAAGTAGGGTTTCTACCATAAAAGGGCAGCTTTTGGGGTTTAATATCAATAAAAGTAATATATTTAAAAATTTTAAAAAATATATTAACTTTTTAAAAATAATATCAATAAAGGGCAAAGATACTGTTCATCTTCTTCTTCTTGCCATTTGTTCATCAGAGCTGYCGTTCGCCGCCGCCTCCGCCTCCGACAACGTTGCCGGGGGTGGCGGCGACAGCGCTGGTGGTCATTCCTCTACTCGCTGCCACCGCCACCTCTGTCTCCACCCATCTCCGGCAACATTGCCGGAAGCGGAGGCAGAGGTGGGTGGAAGTGGCAACGGGCGGCGGTTCTAGTGAACAAATAGCAAGAAGAAGAAGATGAACAGTATTTTTATCCTTTATTGATATTATTTTTAAAAAATTAACCTATTTTGATTTTTTTTAAAATATATTACTTTTATTGATATTAAACTCCAAAAATTGCCCTTTTATGCTATTATCCCTACAGTATCATAAACAAAGGCTCCCAAAACAGCCTAAGGGATTAAGATGTATAGTGAGTTCAGATCTCCTGCAAGTTGTTCACGTAGTATCTAGCTGTACAGTAGGATATATATCCCAGAAGCCAAACAGAAGCTGAAGAAAGATGGGACCCAGTGATCCACGCGCAAGCAAAGGAAGTGGATGATCGGATGCTACCACCCCGTCCTAAATGAAATAAGGAAGGATACGTTGTGGATCCCTTCTTCGCCTGAAACAATGGCCTTGTCCTCTTTTTGATAGATGGCGTTATCCATGGCCGTGTTTCTTCGATTTGCTTGCTTTCGCATCACCCTTCCCACACCACTCATTGGCGGGGGTTCATTCACCACCTTGGCTGCAGTGATGTCCCTTGCAGACCCCGATAAGTAGTGCCAACTCAAGTTCAAGTCCATGTATATGTTTGGCATCGGTGTTGCATATACACCGCTTTCTAAGAATATGGAGCCGAATATGTGTGGGTTGAAAGTATCATTTTCTAAAAAAAAAACGGTCTTTTTTTTTTTTTGGTTTGGAAACATTGTTGTCAAATAGGACGGGCGACAACACTTTCTATTTGGTACGAATGCTCCATATCTGTTTTCAGTACTGGTACCCATTATAGAAAGTCCACATCACTGCCACATCATGTCCTCATTGGCAGCAACGGAGTTCAAATTGAGAAAATGTCGAATTCAGTGTTTTCTCATACCACACTTTTCGATTTCCAAGGCATGATTTAGAGCACCATTTTTATGGAAAAACAGTTCTAAACATGTTATCATTTTTTGGAGCACCGATTTTTTCAATGTGGTGCTGATGTATCAYCGTTTTCTGAAGCAACAACATTGATGCCAAGCACCGTCCAAATCTGCTCCTTATACAAAATGTGCCTCACATCATGTTCCTGGCCGCACATCAATGTTCCCAATATAAGGTGAGATGTGGCTGAGTAGCAGATCCCAATTCTGCCAGTTCCACCTTGGCCAGGGAGAGTGATGGCATTAACACTTAACAAAGTTCAGATTGATATCCAATTCGACCACTCCAAGTTCAAGACCGTTGAATTGGGATCTGCTCCTCACAAAATACATCTCACACGGATCTCACATCCCGGGAATTTCTCTCCATACAACACAAAGGAAGGAAAATGTTCCTAGTACATGGTGAGATGGGTCTGTGAGGTCCATATGAGATGCGCTCTGTGAGAGGAGCAGATCCGGACTCAAAACCGTCGAGGAACGCCATGAAAAGTAAAAATGCTCACCGCGAGGGACCACATCAAGGCTTAACCGTCCGTGACGCCGGCTGCGGTATCAGCTGCCTGTCGATTTAGCTAGACAAGCAAGGATAATCATCTCGACTCAGCCGCCATGGCTGCCGTGGCAGGGAAACAGGTAATGATTTCAACCTACAACTGTTACATCTTTTAACGGTTTTAATTGACAATCAACAACATAACGGTTTTACTGAAATGTCCGTTATTAGCCGTTACAAATTACAATATAGTATAGTTGACGATGTGATAACACCTACATCTGAGTACTGTGGAGGGAAGTATGGCCCTCCCACCGAGTCCGACTTCGGTCAGAGCAAAGCCCGTTCCAACAACTTTACAGCCTTACGTTGGAAATATTTCCGTACTTATATGAAAACATCAACTGAAACAACACCTGCATAGAACGTCAGAACTCAGAAGCTAGAGTTGCTTTTTCAGTTGAACTTTCGGATTGATACCATTTTTATTCTTATTCAACGAATCAGTAGGATTAAGGACAGAATAACAATGTTGAACTCGAATCCTGTCACGGTGTTGTTTACTTCAGAAAGCCATCTAAGATCGGCATCCATTTTCACAATTAGAAAGTTTTGCAGGCAAGAGACTGAGAGAGGAGCTCCTGAGACACTGCATTGATAGGTCGCAGGCTCGCAGCACGGGTGTTGCCCAAATTTGAGATGAGGTCAGAGATTACCCACAGTCCACAGAGCAAGGCAGATGCAATGATAGTAGTACGCTCGGCATCATTGGCAGAGAAATGAGCTTGCCCCCAAAGACATTCTATAACGGGTTACAAGTTACGACCTGTTGATTGTTGAAGAGGATCTGGAGAGCTGTTTACTTCCTGGTCCATCAAAGGCAACCAGAGCTTATCTCCATGCGGATGCGGAGGTGGCAGAGCTGGGTGGAGCCGTGGAGGCAATTCTTGATTGAGACTGGGAGGTTCCTTCACTTTTTCCCTTGGTCATCCCTATCGGTTCATTCATTCATAATTGTTTTTCACCAGGCTGATCTAGACTGTAATGGCACGTGCTATGTGCTGCACCACAGGCCCAGAGCTCTGCCCCAAGAATCCTCCAATTCCTCTATCTGCAAACTGTAATACTTGAATGCATATTGTCTGCCACTCTTCCACTTCCATTCCATGGCTGGGGGTAGACGTAAGGGTTGCCCGGTAGCGGCTTTCTAGTTCTTCTTTCATGGAAAATTGCACAAAACTTCTGGGAACCGCAGAGGGCGACGTTTTTCAGTTTATATCCATCCCCTGACTTCCTATTTCCCATCGATTCCTGAACGTGTATTAAGATTCAAGAAATGGGGTAGTACCCACCTATGTCAAATCCAAAGACCATTTCTTTTCCTTCCCCTTTTCTCTGATAATGAGATTTCGAATCAAGGACAATTCACAGATAAGAATAAATTAAATATAAGCACAATATCGGGAAAGTAGACTGAGAATCACCATTGAAAGAACACACCAAGAGACTGCCTAAACAAAAAATCAACTTGATCAGGTTATCTCTACCTTGTTCTTTATCACGTACGTATGTCCTGTACATCAAGAGTGAGAAGTCCATATACAAGCAGTTGACTATCCCGCCATTTAAGCCCGAACCCAACAAATTCAACACCCAAAAGTGAACCTAAACAACTTGAGCTATGTCTTTCGCATAGTCTTGTGGGCTGTGGTGCCATTAACTTAGCAATGCTCCAGTCAAACAATATAGTGACCCAATGGTCATGGCAGATGAATGTATGTGGCATGCTTCTTTTGTATTGGCAATGAAGTTATGAAGCAAAGCATCCCTCATAACAAACTTATGGAAATTGAACTCTTGATTCAGAAGTCCCCATTGAGTTCGGTAACATTTCAGCAGGAAGCGTGATGTATTGAATGACAAAACAACACAGATACCAAGAAACTTAAATTGCTCACTAGAATCAATCAATCAATATACAGGCATCAAACCATGAAAAACGTCAATTCTTTTAACATGGATAAAAATGTATGGTACTGAACTCTCTTTCAGCTTCCTATGGTTTATTATCTTTGTATGAATCCTATAATGGGCAATAAGCATCAAAAGATGAATAAGCAAGGAGAAGTGAGACTACGAGAGGACGAAGGAACTTTACATTAATACCTGATAAAAACCAATCCGAATGCTCGCTTCAGATCAAATAATTAAGTTTATTTCACCCAACTCCTCAGCTCTAACCACAGAGCTCAGCTAGAATCCATCCTATGTACACTGATTCGTATGGCTTGGCTATAACCTATCTGCTATTCTTCCTAGAGCATCTGCAAGCTTACTAAGAACAGCCACTAAGCTATCAGCATGGTCCTTACGCTGGTCCCTGTCCAATTGGCAATTCATGTTCTGAACTTCAAGTTGTGCAGTAAGCATTCTACTATTCCTCTCTAGGACTTCAATTAATTGGTCCTGCAGACTGGTGTCATGACCTCCATCTGATGGCAACCGCCTCCGCTTCCTTCCCTCCTGAGACGTAGATTCTTTTTCAGGATTTGCAGTTGGCTGCTTTTCACTTGTACCTGCAGAACTTAAACCAATCAGGACAAAATATAGTTCCTGAAAGTGTTGTAAGATCTTTAGTACCCATGTTCAGGGTAGATAGAACTTCAGCACTGAGATGACAGGTTGTAGGATAGATATAACGAAGCAAATCTTCTTTTTCAAAAGGGAAAAAAATCTGCTCATTTATAATTTAAAAACAAAATAAGTTACAGAAAAATTAGAAAAAAAATAATTAAGAGAACTTTGAAAGAACCATGATTTAGAAAGTTGGGTCAACTTGGCTTGCAGTATATGCTTGTTCACAAAATTTTTACCTTTGGTACAAGGACTACAGGAACTTAGTGAAGCACTAGAGCCTCCTTCCTACTTGTTCCATATACATGACACCCCACATGTTGTGTAGGGGTCAAGCTCCCTCAAATGCAATCCTCATGCCCCAAACCAACCTGATTTTATTTTTATCATGTCAATTATGGATGTTTCTCCATACTCTTATCTGCATTCCCTTAATTTCGTCACAACTACCCAAGAAAATGCGATAGATCAGATAATTAGCATTTGATAGATAGGTTGGTTAGATCATACAATCAGACAATTGTTGTTCTGCAGAAGTAGTTCTTAAAATTCCACTATGAAAACAAAAACAAATGCCATACAAGCAAAATCATGCATCCCTTAATTTTAGCTGTGTTTTTACTTTTAGCCTCTATATTTCTAGCCAAATTCCTTCTGTCAATTCTCTGTTGAATAATGTAGTTATAGTGATTCAATTTATATTTTTGTCTGTATAAGTGCAACCTATATGGTACATTTCAACAATTATGCCCAACGTAGATGATTTGAGCAGCACTACCTTGCACGGGAATATTGTAATGGTGAAACATTAAGAATGAGAGGGTTGCTGCAGGAGCATGGGAGGATAAGCTTCGGATTGTTGAGAAACAAGTCTAAAGACAGCATGCAGTGTTTAAAGGGTTTCAGCTTAGGTAAGAAGTACATAGACTAACCTTGGCCTCCAGTGAAAGGCAGTAGTAAGAACATAATGAATATGTTATCTCTTTAGTTTTTACGGTTTTTAATCGTCTAGTAATCTAGAAAGGATTTCAAGATTTTTTACTTGTACCTTCAAAAACACATCAAGGTATAAGATCCAGTAGTTGAATAGCAATTTACTGGTCCTTTAGTTGAAATGGGCAAAGGTGACATCTGATCTAAAAGTTGAACTGGGGAGTGTTCGCATGAATATGTTGTGTATATTTGTTATTAGCAAAACTTGGTATATATTATGAGTATTAGTTCATTTATGATCCAAATAGTTGATATGGAAAGACATTTTTACTGGTAAAGCTGCATATATAGTAGAATCCATGAACTAATACCCAATACATACCAGGTTTTTCCAATAACAAAAAAAAAAAACAAATATACACAGGTAAAGCTGCATGGATGGTGGAAAGTAGCTACTTCAGTAGTTCAATTATAAAAATATAAGTCAATCCTCAAGACCAGAACATATTAGAAAAGGTTGAAACTCTTGTTTGCTCATAATCACCTACAAATATTTTAGCAATGATCTCAAAACACAAAAGGAAAGTCCAAGGATTAAAATCCCCATATTGAGTCCATTTATTTGGCAGAAACCAGCATGAATTTTGCATTAGAGCTAGTCACTGTGGATTAAGGTACTAGGCTCACTTTTTCAATAGAGTGATGGGTCAGACAATGCTTATGCTTGTTATATTCAGTACAACACTACTGATATTTGAGTTTTTAACTCTTTAAGCAAACAGAAAAGCTCTAGAACAGAAGAAGAAGAATAGGTTGTCAGTACCTTGATCTAGATGTCCTTTGGAAAACGGATGGTACTGCTTCTCTGCATCCAATTGCAAATTTAAAATTCCAATTTAGTCATAAAAAATAGGCAAACACAACAAATAATGAGAGAGAGAGAGAGAGCTTGCACAATCGAACCAAAGCCATAAGAAAGAAAACAAAATAAAAAACTCAAAAACCAGCATCCAACAAGTCCAAATAAAACTGTCTTAAACCTCTTATTTATCTACCCAAAAAAGCCCTGTTATTTATTGCAAAACACAACCAACAGTTTTCTCTTCCTTTCTGTCTAACCAGGGAAAAAGAAGAAAAAAAAGGGAGAGAGAATTAGAGCTACGGAGGAAGGCTGCTTTTGTTTCTCTTATAAAATGGACGGATATCTTTTAGACTGTAATATTTCAGCTATTATCTCCACCTCTATTGCGGAAAAATATTTGTTTTCAATCCCTTTTAATTTGTTTTCATTTAAATGGCAAAGAAACCATTATCATGGTAAAAGAGGCGAAATTATAAAATATAGTTCGAATATTTCAGAATGAAAAAAAAAATCCGTTGTTCATCAAAAGAAAAAAAAATTCCGTCCATTTTCGGTTGAAACAAATGGAAGTATAAACCTCAGAAGGAAAACATAGTCAAAACAAAGAACACGCAAAAGAAAATTTGCGATAGTCGGAAAAGATTTCTGAATAGCCAAATGAAATTCGATGCGAATCCAAAATTGAAAACCGCTAGAGGGAGGGATTAATAACTCTACAAACCATATAAAGTAAAATTACCAGAAATAGGCACCGGAGCAGGCACAGCCGTTGCAGGACTCCCCGTCGCCGCCTCTTTCTCTGAGCTACCGCCAGCCTCTTCCTGCCCCGATTGCTCAAAATCGGAAAACAGCCCTTCTTCCGCCGCCGCGCTACGACCGCTATCGAATACCGCCTCGTCCTCCTCCGCCACCCCTTCCGTCTTTTCAGTGTTCTTAACATCAATTGCCACCGTTTCTGGTTCCGTCACCGTCGCTGTCCCCCCGTTCAAGATATCGTACACCTCTCTATCGAAAAAACCCGGTAATTTCCGCTCTCTCCTCAAATCGTTCCTCATGACCCAGAACGATTCGGCTTCTTCCTTTATCTGCGATTCCCATTCTTTGATCTTCTTGAAATCTCCGGCGAGGTTGCTCCATCGTTTCCGGCATTGAACTGGTCCACGGTTCACGCCGTGCCGTTTGCAGTACGACGACACAGAAGCCCATTTGGGCTCAATGTTGGACCCAAAAGCTGAACCGGCGGCTCGACCCCTGCGGACCCGGTTCTCTGCAACCTTCTTGCCTTGGATGAGGACGAGTATCTCCTGTCTCGTCCACCGAGGAAGCCTCGGTGGTCTGTTGCCGTCGTCGGCTCCTTCAACACCGTTAGAGAGAGGGACGACGTTTGGGTCTCCATCGACGGGCGCCGCTGATGGGCTTAGCCGCTCAAGGGCCATAAACGAAACGAAGGAGTGCTTTTGTTGTGTTGAAGGCACGTGATTTTAACGGGGTGGTCCGATGTAACGGCGTTTTTAGAGCGAGAAGGTCCGTTTAGAAATTAAGGAGAAGAGGGACAAGTATCCTTTCCCAATTCCCATCTCTCTCTCTCTACTCTTCATGCTTCTTTCTTTGCCCCATAGGCCATAAGGGATTAGGGAGGGAGATATGGGAGGGGAGAGAGAGGAAAATAGGAGGGCGAGGAGGTTTTGTGGGGATGTGGTTTTGGGTGGGTTTTACCAGCTATATGGAGACCCCTAATCTCTAATGTTTCCTTTCTTTCCTTTTTTTAAGTGATTAATTGGGCTTATATTCTATGCCTTTGTATTCAATTCTCACTATAAAAAGTTAAAGGACATCACTTTCTTTCTTTGGATTGATAAGGCACCACCACCCTCTCCTCCTCTCCCTACCAGTGTAGAGTTATATCTATTTTTTTTTCACTCTCTCTCTCTCTCTTAATTGAATATAATTTGTCTAAAATTTCTTTTTGAAAGGTAATGAACACAAGTTTCTTATGCTATTTTGTCACGAAAAGGGGTTAATTATGGAGGTTAGGAGGCACATGTCTCATGGGAGGGTGATGGAAAGACTCAGCCCGTTCATTGGGTTAAGTAGGGGTCACAGTCTCCTTGTGACTGGGTGGGGACCTACCCCGCTTTGCCAAATAGGATGCAAGGGTATATGCCTATCCAGGCGGCGTATGGCTTCTGTAACTCTTCTCAACCTTCTTTGTTTTTTTTTTTTTTTTTAAATTTAATAACATTTTGGTCTATTCGTAATGGCGTGACACCCTTGGTTTGGGGTCCCATTTTGCTTGTCATCTTACAAGGCTTTTGCCCTCTTTGAATCCTAGAAAACAAAGGTCATGCCTCATCCCTCAAGGTGTGAACGAAACAATTAGATAAGGTGACCAACCATGCTTTTCCTTTTCTTTCTTTTGTTGTAAAAGAAAAAAAATCTTGGGTGGGCTGCTGTTCCCTTGTTGACATATAAAAATATGTAGTAATTAGGATTGATTGATTCCTGGGAAGCTGATCCACTCTTTCCTTTTACCATGTCATCCATAGATGATATGATAGACCCATCACCCATGTAGATAGATACTCACATATAGATACCTCCATCTACCCATTCCTCTAATTATGAAATTTCAACTCTTCACTGTGAATGAATGACTAGGATAAGGATATATGCGTCTAAATCAACATGGAAAAAAAATTTTCATTCAGTCCAGGGAGGGGGCCCCTTCCCCTTTGTAAACTTAGCAGATTCGGGCAAATTGATGGAGCCTTTTAATTAGAAATCCTGATCAAGTGGCTTTGTGCCCCTAAGCAAAGGTTTTATCATGTGTACCTTGGTTGTTTGTGGACCTGGAAAAAAAAAAAAAAGGTTCCCTATCTTTCTTATTATGGCATACACAGCACTACTGGGTCTGGGCTCAGTTTAATGGAGAGGAGTGTCCCCTCCACGACCCATTAATTTAGTGCATTTAATTACCATGAAATCTTGAGGCCATCCAATGTTGATCTTAATGGTAATATGCTTGGTGTAGAATGCAAGTCCAAGCTGATGGTTTGTTTGGAAATCGGAATGATAGCTGTGGACCTTACACAAATTGCATTAGTTACTTTGGTGGCCACTCCAGGCTTTTCAGACATGTGGTGATCAAAAATTAAAAAAAAAAAAAATCCACAATTCGGTGGAAGATTACAATCAGCTTTGCTTTTTAATAAGCAATTCAAATCCATTCAAAAGAATCATGGTAATTAACATATGGGCCTTTACGAAAAAGGAAAAACTTGTATGGGCCTCGGCCCATTGAATGTGACCATTTCAAAGTGAGTCTGGAATCTGGATGGTAGTAGGGTTAGCAGTCCCATCTAAAACAAAGGAAGAAGAGGCGTGTTTGGTATTATTATAATTGTAATATTGGTGTAATTAGGGTTTGTGAGCCTAATCAACAACGTAGGAAGGTGGTTGTGTTGGACTTATGTGCTTTTCTACGAATTCATAAGGTCTACAAAATCATTATTTTTTTAGGCAATATCTTAATAATCTAATCTTAATCTCGAAATGAGATCTGGATTTTCATGGGGTTTAGGTGGTAAGAGACAAAGTGGATAAGCGACACGTGTCAACCAAAAGTGACAGAGATGTTTTCTTTCTTTTCTTTTTGGTCTTTATCTGGTGTCTAGAATCTGAAGATTATTCAAAACAATCACAAAACACGCAACCTTGGTGTATCTATGATAACCATGGTAGGCCCCATCCTTAACAGGAGGGAGAACGCCCGTTCAGGGACGCCCTGAACTGTATTCTGGATGAAAACGCTAATTTTCTGGACTGTTGTGACTTGTTTAAGGTTGGTTGGTCACTGGGCTAGAATATCGCGTAGTAAGTACACACATGTTGGATAAATAGATTGACTTCGGGATTCCAGATTGGATTGATGAGGTGTTGTGTGTAGACTAATTTCTTTCCCTAAAAAAAAAAAAAAAAGGAAGAGAGACGAAAGAAAACCAACCTCTAACCCCTTCTTCTATTATTGCATCAAAATAACATATTTTTTCTGTTAATTTTTTATGTATCACATGGAATGTTTTATTATACGATAGAAAATAGTTAGCTATTAGTGGGGACCCATATGATGAACAGGATTTATTAGGTTAAAAGTGAAATAATAAAAATATAAAAGAATAAAYATTTTTTTATTTTAATTTCTTAAAAATCAATAGTTATTTATGTTTTTATAATTTATAACTATTTTTAATAATTTTTTATAATATAAAAAATAATAATTATTAATTTTAATTAAATTAAATCTAATTTTTAATAAATAATAATAGTTTAATTTCCAACAATTATTAAAAATTTATAATAAAGATACATAATTAATAAAAATAAATTTATAACAAAAATATATAATTGAATCATTGACAAAGAGATATAGACTACTATGGAAGGAATCTATCTTTCATGTGGCAATTTTTCTCTCTCTCTCATGCACACACAAGTTCATGTTAAATGTTACCAGTTAGATAGTCAACCATCAAAATATGAGGGGAAAAATGGAAGAAAAACATGGCCAGCCTGGTCTTGGGTGACAATTGAAGGATTGATGGCATATTCCATAAAAGGCCAAGGCCAATAGTGCAAAGACAGCAAGAGCAGCAGGGATAAAGAGGAAGTTATGGTTTATGGGCTAACTTCCAAATTTTCGAGAGAATAAAAACCAAGCAAGGATGAGGAGCGACTGTGCTCACCGGGTTAGGATATGCTATCCATAAATTATTTTCACATCTCTACATACAAGAGAGATTCAGCTACATATTGAGAATATTTACCTTTTAATTCATGGGAAGATGTTTTCAATACATACGATGGTATTGTTCTGTGAATAGAGATGTGAAAACAATTTATGGGTAATAGATCCAGAACCGTGCGTATGCGCAGCAAGGTGGCAAATGGCAAGCCGTGTAATGTAATAGAGAGGAGTGGACAACCAACCACCAGCACTAGGCAGAGGGATCTCCCATTTGGAAAATCTTGATGACCATGACAGACTCAAGCCTATGTGGGTGACCTGATGAGAATTGAAAACAACGTAACCTTCCAGTCTTTTGTATGCTTTCTCTTGGACGGTAAAATCTTTGACAAATTGGTCTATGAAAAAGTCTATGGAGGGGACTATTGCCATTAATTTATATATTCGTCTGCGACTAAAAGTGATAGCGCAAAGAGGTTGCGGGCCTCTTAAGCACAAAACTAAAGGACAAAAAGATGAAGAAAAGGGGGATTAGCATTTAGCCATCAATTAATCCCATTTCTAACATGTTTTTATTCTTGGAACTCTTGGTGTGCATAAGAGGCAAACCAGGCCGGCCATTGGGGTGGGCGAAGATAGTATTTCCTGTGAATTCTGAATTGAGAAAGCATCTTTGAGTCGGGCAGCACAGAGTTGGTGGACCCATATATGATCGCTGGGATGTGGGATCATAAATATCCCGGGCCAAGGTTCATCACCTTGACTTGCCTATGGATTGATTGGATCCGGGGTGGCCCGTGGCCGAATGGCTCATGGTTTTGCATGCACATTGGCCATTGTTGCACCCCTTATTAAAATTGGGAGAATGACGGTTTAGCCCAGGGTCAGAATTCTTACGCCCAAAGTAAGTTAGTTGGAGTAGGTGCCAACTTGGAATTAATGCCAATTTAAGGGCGGGCATGTGGAATTCAGATATCTGCAATGGGCATATCCATAATCCATACTTTTCCGATTAAAATTTGGGAAAATTCTCAATTAGTACCTTGTACTTTGGGCCTAATGTTATTATGATCCTTGAACTTTAAAATGTGACAATTTAGTACCCGAATTCTCAAAACATGTCAATCCAGTATCTACCATTAACTAGTTGTTAACCAGCCATTAAATAGCATTTAAAAAAAGACACAAATGCCCTTTGAGTATCAGATAATTTCTTTTATAAATCATCCAAATGTTGACAAAAAATTAACGGTCCCAAATCCTTACCTTTTCTATTCAAGAAAGTTGGGGTYATGTCTCAATAGGCATTCTGGTGACCCAAACTTTCTTGAATAGAAGAGGCAATGATTTGAGACTGTTATTTTTTTTATCAACGTTTGGATGATTTATAAAGAAAATTAGATGACACTCAAAGGGCATTTATGTCCTTTTCAAATACTATTTGATGGCTGGTTAACAACTAGTTAATGGTAGGTACTGGATTGATATGTTTTGAAAGTTTGTATACTGAATTGTTGCATTTTAAAGGTCGATGACCAAAATAATACTAGGCCCAAAGTACAGGGTACTAATTGGGAATTTTCCTTTAAAATTAAAGCCCTTTTACGGTTCACTCCATTTTAGAATTAGGAAATTATTTTCCCAAATGTATTTATTCCCAGCTCTCCCTATAAGCATCTCCCCTTGAGAATCTTCCCCCCTTGACACTAACCCAAACCGTACAATCCAATTATGAATTCTGAGGTGGAGTGGGTGGTAAAAACCCCTAAAACTTAATTGTATAAATGTTTTTAATCTATCAATGACCTGACCGGTTGAATTAGTATATGTTTGGCATTGATGTTGCAGATGCTGCTAATGTGTGGGTTGGAAAACAATGTTTTTTTCTATTTGGAAACATTGCTGCTAGGTAGTACGTTTCCTGGAGCAACAACAACATTTTTTGTTTAGTACCAGTACTCCATGTTTGTTTTCAGCACTGGTACCCATTATAGGAAGTCCATGTCATTGTCACATCACGTCCTCATTGGCAACAACGAGCTGCAATCTGAGAAAATGCCAAATTCGGCATTGCTTTAAACCACACTTTCTCGATTTCCAAGGCGTGACTTAGAACACCATTTTTTATAAAATAACAGTTACAAACAAATAGGCATTTCCTAAAATACAATTTTTTCTGACGTGGCACTGATGTATCACCATTATCTGGAGCAATGACATCAATGTCAAACAGACGCTTAGGAATTAGTCACAGTCCTAATTAGTGCCAATATCTGTATCACAAGCCTCTTAAACAGCCGGGTTTTAAAACACTTAGTTATATTATTAAAATTATTTRAAGTATAAATTTATTAAGAAGTTTACATGAACTCTCTCTCTCTCTTATTTTCTGCCAAACCAGCGTAAGTGGTTGTAAAATTAGGGCATCACAACTCTCTTATTTTCTGCCAAACCAGCATAAGTGGTTGTGAAACTAGGGCATCACAAAACACTGGTCAGGATGGCTGTTTTTGCAGTTCTGTGGTGTGCAACTGCAGGCCCGTCATATCTATACAACTTGCAGCTCGTGGGGCACTCGCTAGCAAATGGCAATGGGACCTCTCGCTTCATTCAAATGTTTGGAAAGATTGGACATTTGATTAGATTTGTGTCCTGTGAGTTCAAAAGTCAAACAGGTTCTGAGCAAGCATTGCATGTAATGCTGGAGCTCATGCAGCCACTCAAATCACACGAATCACCACCACCACACATCGCACATTAAAGCCTTCTACATAAGGAATAAAGCTTGTTGTGATCTTAGAACTTGCTTGTCACTTCACTGGGAGGATTCGTCATCCTGTAGTGCTACTAGTACTGCTTCAAGCCATTATCCCAATGGCCTCACTTATCGTTAATGGCCTTAGTTTGCTTCTTCTGTTGTCGCCTTTGGTTGCAGTCATAGCTTATGAGAAGCCCGTCAACTGCAGAAGTATCGAGTGTGCTCCATATGAGGTGATTCACCACCAAAACAACTTGGAAATAAGAAGTTACAGGAACTCCGTGTGGATGTCTACGCCACCCATCAACTCCAGCTCCTACAAGGAAGCTGTTGGTAGCGGCTTCAACACGTATGCGCTCTTCCCCCTCCCCACCCAATTCACATCTGCCCACAGCATACATATCTCCACCGTGTATTGAAAATATCTCCCGCTGACAACTTCAAAAGATATTTCCAATACATGCTGAGATGTGCATGTAGGGCGTTTATTGGACGCACACACCAAATCATTTTCTTATTTCTCTTGCCTGTGGATCATTCCTTGGGGTTGATTGGTTATTGGTGGGTCACTGTCTTCATAGGCTTTACTCATCATAAGCTGGTGTTTGGAATGGGGTAATATTTTTTTTTTAAATGGTATCACGTCCAAAATTCATTTTTCAAATAACACCTGATGTTTGGTTATGTGTTTTTTTTTTTAAATATTTTTTTAGATATACAATAATTTAAAATTATAAATATTTTCACCTATAACACTCATACCAATTAGTAAATTGGCATCAATTCCAATTTAACACCTACCTCCAATTCTACAGTGGAACTACGATTTCTGACTAAAAACCATTGAAAATGCTTGTAGGGCACAACATCAATGATACAAAGAAAAACTATTTTATTCCCCAAAATATAGCACCATTTTCTCAAAAATAAATGACATTAATTTCAAACACCACCACATATATACATCCTGTGCGGAGAATCCGCCTGACATGGAATGACTGGCACGGTGGCACCAATCCAACAAATCGGAGAGACCACAATCTACCCAAGTTACACGGTAAAAAAGATCCCGGTGATCCTTCACAAGACCCCACTAACTATATTCGCATCTGACGGCATGACATTGGTGTGATCGTTAGGAAGATAGAAAAGTAAAAAGAAAAAAGAAATTTGTCTGAAATAGCAATCTCACTTCCTAGAGTTGCTTTTTAGTAAAGACAAACAACAAATAGGGAGAGGTTTCAGGAACTAATCATTTGCCACAACATGATGTCCCAAGGAAAAGATAAAGTTGCGCTTTTAAGTTTTATGTGTGTCGATGACTGACAATTTCTTTTTTAGCAGGAAAAGTATAACCAACCGAGTCTCCCTAGTACAAACCACAATGGGACAATAGTAATACAAGTTATAGTTTAAATTCTCTAACCTCTATTAACCTGAGCTCATCTTCACTACCTAAAAAACTAAAGGGATTAAGGGAGAAAGATGGTTAAGCCCATGGTCAAAATTTTTAGGCCCAAACTACAGTTGGGTGAGTGTCAAGTTCGGAATTTTGATGTCAATTTACGGGTGGACATTAATATATAGAGTAAGGGTTTTTCACCTTTTAAATGTTTTATAGCTCAATCTACATTGGGCTTGTTCTGATACCTGTCTTTTCAGTTTATTTGCCTACATTCAAGGGATGAATCATGGAGGAACAAAAATCGATATGACGGCACCGGTACTAGTCGACATTTTCCCGTCAAAGGGACCTTTCTGTAACTCGACCTTCGTTGTCCACTTCTATGTGCCCCAGAAGTATCAGAAAAATCCTCCTCTCTCAGATCAGGTTCACCCAGTAAAGCTGCCTAAGCATCGTTATGCTGCCGTTCGTCGATTTGGAGGCTTCATGGACGACTCCAACATTCCTCTACAATTTGTATTCTTAAGGAAGAGCCTCAAGGGCACACCCTGGGAGTCTGCAATTTCCTCAAGACATGGTGGTGGTGGTGGTGAACCTCAGCCCTATAGCGTAGCAGGCTACAACTCGCCCTATGAATACGAAAACCGCGTTAACGAAGTGTTGTTATGGTTTGGCAAGTAGTAATTGGGCTTATTTTGTCAAGTGATATCCCCACCCATATTCATTAATCCTCCCGCTTTGAGTTTCCTATTCTTAGGCATAAGTCATAAGACTCGCAACCTTGTTTTCTTCTTCATTAATCATCCACTTTGTTATTTGGGTCCATCATCTTTTTAGGACCTCAGTGGCAGACAAATACTCAAATTCTATCGAGACCAAAAGTGGGTAACCGGCTGGTCCTTGAGCTCTCCCACCAAGAAGATACGAAATTGTTCTACCACTTTTAAAGAAAAAGCACAATTTGAGAAATTTCCTAAGCAGTTGGCACCGACTTTACTCCTAAATATTTCGTTGTATGATTGCTTTAAAACATAAATTGCACGTAGTTATTTTCTTTAGGGTATCAAGTATTAGTACTTTCACATTACAGGGGACTCGGAGTAAAAGGTGAGTGGGTGACTCGTGGAAATAGATCGAAATCTACCTAATTCAATAATTACATATTGGAGAGAATCTCTTATAAAACCTTAAAAAATCCTTCTCTGAAACCCCGAGTATGAAACAAAGAAAACTGGCATCGTTTTTTATTTTATTTTTTCTAGTAAAATAATCAAGGGAAAATTTTTGATTAGTATTATGTACTTTAGGTCTATTGTTATTTTAATCCCCAAACTTTAAAACGTGACAATTCAGTATCCAAACTTTTAAAATGTGTTAATTTAACACCTAACATTAACCAATTTGTTAATTAGTTAAGTGTTATCTAATTTTCTTGATCAACCATCCATGTGTTTATAAAAAATGAACAGTCCCATATCCTTGCCCCTTCTATTCAAAAAAAAATGTCACTAAAATGCCCACTGAAACGTGACCTCAACTTTCTTAAATAAAAGAGGCAAGGATTTATGACTGTTTATTTTTTGCCAACATTTGGATGATTAACAAAGAAAATTAGGTGATATGGCTTTTGTCTTTTCAAATGCAACTCAATGACTGATTAATGATAGGTACTGGATTGGCACATTTTAAAAGTTCAGATACTGGATTGTCATGATTTGAAGTCCGGGGACCAAAGTGGCACTAGACCCAAAGCATAGGGTACATTTTTCCTATAATCAACTAAAAATTGCACCACCCTAAGTTATAGAAAGCACTATCCTTGAGCTACAGGCCATTGCCATTAAAAACCTAGGGAGGCCCATGTTCTGATCAAGTGGATGATAAATAAGAAAGTTATAGTAGTGGGAGAAACATACTATGCAGAACTGACTCGGACTCATGCAAAGGGGTTGTATGATCGCAGTTGAGCTCTCACATCATAAATTTCCACATACTAGCATTTGCCTGAATAAAATACCAATTTTGCAATCAAATGCCCAACTGGCAGCAATTGATCTTCATGCAGGAGATATTCCCAAAGTGCGACTGGATGTTCATGCTTTCAGAGTGCTGGTGCAATCTTTTGCCTTGGGGAGATCTAATCCGAATGCAAAACTTTGAGCGCACAGCATCCAGCTGATCATTGCTAATATATTGCATACATGTATGTTAAATTTATGAGACGTGTACTTTCAGTCTGTTGGCAGAGTTTCTGCTTTCAGGAGATCCACTCTATTGAACCGGAGCATTCTTCAGTCTCCCAACTGGAGCATTCCTTTGTGTGTACAAGTGTTCATAAACATCTGATCCATGGATTTTATTTATACTTCACAGGGATCAAGTCGTTGGGGAAGAGGAATAGAAACTACTCCTCAACCTATGTTTTCTGGCTGGATTCAAGAGATTAGAAGAGAAATCGGGTCATGGACAATAAAAAAAACCTAAAGCAAATCCCAAAGCATTTTTGCAACATTCTACCTGACTCACATTGTCTAAATGCTTAAAAGTAATCCAGAAGCTGAGTTTAAAGGAAGACAGCACTCATGACAATCGATTCAGCCATAATGAGCATAATGAGCACAGAGAAAAACAAACATCCCCATGAGAAAAGGCGAAAAAGAAACTCAAACCGATATCCAAATCTACTCCCCTACACCTCTTCAATGGCAACAAGAAAAATTTTGCAAGGAAAATAATAGACCGGAGACCTAGGTTACATTTTTATGGATATAAACAGCAATAGTGTACATTTATTACCAACTTCCATTAAACATACTTTGCACAGTTCAATCGGGTGGGACCCCGTGGTCCATTGTACATTTCCCCCTTTAAAACATCATAATGATGATGATAATTTTAAGAATACTATACCTGTGCCTAGGGGGACCCCAGAGAAGGCATTACTTTTATCTCGGCATTTATTCCAGTACAGGATGATAAAGTAAATCACAATCAACCGTAGGTGAGCAGAAGGGCAGATGCTATTTCACTGTTCTAAGGATAGAATAAATACAACAAGAATTAACTTAAAAACAAAAACATGACTCCACCGTTTTGTTTATGTATATAAACTAATAAGAGAATGATGAATGTCCAAGGAAGTGAAGCACAATGGAACACCCAATAATTATATCTTTTACTATCATTACAAAATGCTGATAATACACTTATATTCGTATAAGTGTATTAAAAGGGGAAAAAATGGAGAATCCCAGACCCTCCACCCAAATACAAATACACAGTACTAGGTATTAAGATTACAAGAATTGACATGTGTCAAGTCATGGATCCTCATTATGCAAAAAAAAAACACATTGAAAATGCTGACCACAATAGCATGGGAAAGCATACAAGAATGAAAAAAAAAATCATAATTGATCACCTAGTAAAGACGTTTCCGACAGTCTACTGCACCACAATAGCATGGCATCTTTTTTATCTCACCATTTGCACCCATTACACTATCAAGGACATAACCATAGTCATATGTAAGCTCCTGCATAAAAAATGCAAACAATATTACTCCAAAATTCTGTCAATTTAATCCAAGAACTAAGCTAAGACAAATCTGAAAGAGGACATGAGCAGTTTTTTTATGTAGATAGGGCATGGGAATACAAAGTAATCACCTTAAACATTTATCCCATATATGTAAAGGCCTAATAGAATCATTTTACAATGATCCCAATTTGACGCTTGAGTACACATTTAAGATGATACATATTAATAAAAAACAACAGAAGATATAGAAAAGCAGTTCCATAAAATTTTCAAGATACCAAACGTTCAGGAATCAAACCAATGTTAGAAGTTCAAAACCTAGACATTTCAAGTTGTTATGAATACCTTCAGTCACTTTGAGAATTTTATTGGTGCACAGACAACATTTTTCTGTGAAAAAAATATAGTATTTGATGAACTTTTTCAAAAATTTATAAACTACAAGAAACTCTCCCCCCCTCCCCTGGCCTCTCTCTCTCTCTCTCTCTCTCAATGGTCTCTCTACCTTTCAATGTCAGCATGAGGAGCACTTATTCCAGATTTCTAGTTGGGGTAGAGATCCTTTTGGGGTTTCTGAATCATGTATGTAGGGTTATCAGTAGGCCCCGTTTGGCAACGTTCTGTGAGAGCGTTTCTCCTGTTCCCGGCATTCCCGCAGAACAGAAACGCGTTTGGCAAAAAAGAAAACAAGAGAAATGAGCCATTCCTGAGTGAGAACAGCACCCCATTCGCGAATAGGGTTAAATTGAAGATTTTGCTCAAATAAACCCAAGCCCTATTCAATCTCTTCTCTGTTAGGGTCCCAACATCTTTCTTCAATTCTTCCCACCACCACATATTACAGGGTGAGCATCATTCAACATTAAGTCAAGAGACCGGTGAGCAACGGTCTATGGTCTACCTTCCTCCAACGACTTTTCCAGCATCAGGTATTCCTTTTTTTTCATACCAATAGATCTGTTAGTTCATTTTATTGATTTTGGTGAACCCAAGAACTGTTAGTTCTCATTTTATTGATTTTGATTTTTCAGTGAACCCAAGTTCTGTTAGTTCATTTTATTAATTTTGTTTTTTTTGGTGAATCCAAGATCTGTAAGTTCTCATTTTATTGATTTTGTTTTTCTGCTCTTCATCCACAAAACTTGTCACCCGTTCCTTTCGTTGATATATTTGCTTCATGGTTATTTGTTTCATACTGTCCTGTAACCGAGATGAATCTGTTTGATGATAAGCAGAGGTAGTTTTCCTCTTTTGTTGATATGTTTAGAATTAAACGCTATAGCATCAATGGTGTGATGATAAGCAGGGGTTTTTGTATGGAATGTTGCAAGAGAGATGAATAATAAAAATTCTTTGTGGTATACAGAACTTCTGAGATTGGGATGGATGACTCAGACTCAGAGGAGTTAGAATGGATGTGAAGGATCTGTAAAAAGTTATAGTGAGCTGAATCTGGCACTGCCCATGAAACTGAACAGAGGAGAATACAAAACAAACAACAATAGACATTATAAGATATGTATTAGTTGATTTGAAATTTTTTGGAGTTACATACAGAAATCTGCTCTCAAGGAACAGATTGCCAAAGAACTTGATGGAGGATATTTCTAGCAGATACCAATAAAAAATTTAGAGTTTATTAAAAAACATGCCATTCAAGACTTATTTGTCTTACTTAGAAAGTATAATAAACAAAAAACTTACTTGTCTTACCTGCAAAGGGGGAATGTTGTCAGCAGCAAATAACATTACTCGAGCAAGTTTGATATCATGATGGGAACTCAAAACACACTGGACAAAGAGATTAGGCTCACAGCTGTGATTGATGAATCTGGCTACATTGCCAACAGAGGCTGCATCTATGCAGAACTCAGGCACATTTTCTAATTTCTTGTCATCTGTTCTATCCAGGTTAGTAGTTGTAGGTATAGATACATCTCTTAGTCGCCTCTATCAGACAAGAAATTGAAATTCCATCAGATAACTATAAATTGGTATGAACTTATCAAAAAACAATAAATTGGCATGCAAGGCATAACTAACACAAACAAATGAAATGGTTGTAGAAAAACAGAGTAAAAGAAGAAGCAATCATTTTATGTGCAAAAGGAATAGTATTTTTATTGGTTACATTTCAATAACATCTTTAATATCCCCATTATACACACACTAACACTATTATGGCAAATTGTACGCTCTTGAAAAAATCACAGTGACTGTCATTGGAATTCTTCCATGTTTTACATGTAAGGCAGGCCAAATTTCACAAGACTAGTTGCTAACAAAGCCAATAAATGGCTTCTAGAGTAACTTTATCTGAGATCCTTCCCCAAAGACTCCTCTGCTGTTGTAATGATGAAAACAATAGTCCGAGCATTTCCATTTTTGCAAAAAGAATAGTATGCTATAGAAATAATGTAACCCCAAGATGAAGAGCCGGGTGTATTTATTGGCATACTCCCTAGACCACTTCATCATCATATTTACATTTGGTCATCAATATAAAAAAATGATATATTAAAAAGCAGCAGCTTAATCAACCAAAAGAATATACAATCTGAGAGGTGTCAAGATGACACCTCAAGATAGCAACTCAAAAACTAATCTAGTGCAAACTGATCAACACTACAAGCTTGAATTTCAAGTACATTCCGGAAACTCTCCCCCAATTCTGCCCGATTAACTTCACCAAAAGCTAGGAGAACAACAATCCAATCAAACTAATTTTCCAACCAAAGCCACCAACACCTAAATGCTCTTTGATTTGTTTCCAAACAACCTTCTGTTCCTTTCATTCCAAATGACCAAACACACAGAAAATGGAATACAGCACTGGCCAACTAGAACAGTTCTTCTGTGGTTCTTGGCTTTCTGACCCCAAAGAGGAAAGAATAAAATTTCAAGATAAAGTTTGCAATCTTGCAAGAGAACAAATGACAGACCGGCTGCTCTTCCGCGCAGAAAAAATAACAGTAGCTCGCCAGATTGAAGCCCCTTCTCTTCAAATGATCTTAAATCAATATACTCATCCTGGAGATGAATAGCTCATCCTACCTTTCAGTGACCACCATGTCCTTCGCKAAAAGCCTTTAGTAATCACCCTCAGTGCACCTAGCAAGCAACAATTATTGTCAAGCCAATGCCTGGGCATTGGCTAGAGTTCCTGCCCACTCTCTCTCTTCCTACCCCCGCCCCACAGTTTTTCCAACCTAGTTTTGAACTTAATATTCGAATTATATTGCACTCAGTAGTTTGTATCATTATGTGTTTACCTTGATGCTTCATGGAAGATCATAGATTATTTGCAGCTGCTAAATGGAACTGTATGATTTAGTATGTCCTTTCATGCATGATTATAGACAACAGAGCTACAGGTTATTTTTTAATAGGTTTAGAGATGAAGCTAAGGAGAACAGGAAGGAACCTCAAATGCAAGAAAGAGCAGCCAAGGGCATCTCACTATTTGATGCTTCAAGTGTATGGAGTTGGGACATCATTCTAACAAATGTCCTAAGAGAAGGAATGAAGTGCAGACACATTTAACGAGCAGAAAAATGATATAGACAACACTGAGGAAGGAAAAGTGCCTGATACAACTAAAGCTAATGGACTAGAGGAAGAAAACATGGAAAGAAATGTTGAGGGTGAAGTTGTGCAACCAGGATAAGCTGTAGCCAATGATTGTTGAGGGTGGTCCTTGGCACAAAGGTTGGGTTACTCCCTTGCAACCAAGGTGGCCAAAGTTCAAATCTTGGGAACAGCCTCTCTGTATGTACAAGGGGTAAGGCTGCGTACATCTGTCCCTCCCCAGACCCCGCATTGGCAGGAGCCTAGTGCACTGGGTTGTTCATTATGGGGACAAGAATACAGGAGCCAATGACTCTATAATGCTCTCTTAGAGGGAACTTCAATTCTTCGTGTATTGTCTCAGGAGTTGTGACTGTCTTGCTGTTGGGGCTGTCACCTCTCGATATATGTCTTTAATCATAGTCGATAAACTCGAGACTATCTTACTGTTGGGGCTCTCAGGATATATGTCAGTACAATCAGGATAGACCCAATTATCCCGATAACTAATCAAGATGGATTTAGGTCTTTGGTTTTGTCTCAAGTCCCAGTTAACAATTGGCTTGGGACAAGTACAGGAAGTCCCGAACCAAAACCAACCCATTGACAGCCCTAAGTCAACCCCACAGGTGTGGGGTGCCTTGCAATCCCTATATTGTTCTGTGTCCATGCAAGAGACCAGCTTGATGCCATTGCTACTATAGCAAAGCATTTCCAGGAGGATTTCTACTTCAGGTTCAGTTCTGAAAATCTATACAAACCAAGTTGGCTTTTGTACATCTAGCTCTATATTTCCTTGCCTGTTGTTGTTATCTTGAAATACTGTTTATAACTTGCTTGCCTGCCCACATCAGTTACAGATTAGCTGACTAAGATGGTCTGTCCATGTTAAAAAAAAAAACAATAAATGAAACAGTGAGCACTTAGTCAAAGGGTATATACTCATTTTTGGAAAGATCTCCCACATCCAATCTCAGTAACAGTAGCATTACCTCCCTGCCATCGAGCCCTTTCATTGTTTGTAAGCAGTCAATCTCAAATATGTAATTGTTCTCTGAAACATTCTCTAATTCATCAGTTCTCATGAGTATTCCAGTGTATTCACACACAGGTGCCCCTGAAGGAATAGAATCCCAGGACCTAACAGCCCACCCTTTGTTTGGAGTGCGAAAGACCTGTTGAAAGACAACTAAATTAGAACTGCTATACATGGGAATCAGTATATTTGCAGTACCAGATTCAAGCTAATCCACGGTAATTATACCAACCTCCAAACGATACTTTAACCCACGCTGGGATGTTCGGTTGACACAACCAGGTCCACAGCCACATTTTCGTCCACATTCAAATACAACATCCTTAGCTTCAATTAATCTGAAAAATATTAAAGTGATATAAATACTTAGATGAAAAACATAAGCAAAGAAAAAGCTACAGCTCAAACAACCACACATACAAAATTTATGAACATAGTAAACAAGGCAGTAATAGTGCAAGCATTAGGAAGCTAACCACTTAATTCCAGAAGGTGGTTTAAAAACGGACTGTAATATTCATACAGTAAAAGAATAAACTCTGACTGAAACTAGTTAAAATATAACATATTATTGAATGTTCCCATCAAACAATCATGTTCTTGGCATGCTACCATTACCAGGGCACATCTTTCAGCAATTTACATATCAAATATTTCAGTTCTCACCTGCCACCATCACGACGCACATATGGAAAGTCAGAGCCATTAAGTCTTGCACAAGCACAGGTTTTGGGATCAACACAGGTTCCTCTGCAATTGCACCCAGAGACATCCATGGGGAGCTTTACACTTTCAGCAACTTGGATAGACTTCCGATATGTAAATCCTAGAGTTTTAGAAATTCATTAACCAGAGAGGCCTTCAGTTCTTTCATAAATAAAACAAGTTTTGTTAAAAGATGGCATCAAACAAGAAGAAAGGCCTTTAGTTCTTTCATGCATGCATGTATGTACATGCATCATGACTATAACAATCGGCTTTCTTCCATTATGTCCATTTCAGTCCAAAAAGAGATTGATTTCTTAGAGATATAAGAGAAAGAAGACAAAAAATATGAAACAATGTCATCAGTATGTCACTTTAAGACGAGGAGAAACAAAACATAAACCGAACAGAAATCAGAAGATATCTGAATATGGGAATGCTTTGTAAGTGCTCCCAGTAAATGGAGAGAGAGAGAGAGAGAGAGAGAGAGAGAGAGAAGTGCTCCCAGTAAATGGAAATGAAAGTAAAAAGTACATCCTTAGATGAATATGGGAATGCTTTGTAAGTTCCTATGAATAAATCATATTGGTCGTCTCTTCAGTAGAAACGAATGTTAGAACAAATGAACATAGTCAGGGAATATGGGATGCATTTTAGAACGTAACTGGCTGGTATAATAATACCTTAAAACCTGTTCTTGAAAAAAAAATCCATAATGATTACATTTAACCCAGAAATGCAATATATTAACTAGGAGCTAAAGACACAGCAATGACTAGTAATCCCCCTAACACTAACAAAATCCTTGTTAATAAATACTAAAATTAAGCAACACAATGCACAAATAATGAACATTGGGGACTCAAGAGGATAGAACTTGCCCATGGGAGCAATAGGTGGATCATCAACCAAATTAGTGGCTGGAATAGGAATGTCTTCTTCACCGCAACTTATGTCCTTGCACACCAACCTTAGCCAAGAAACCAGTTAAATAAATTCAMTATTTGGAGTTCCATGCATGCGATAGGTAAGAGACTGACTTTATTTGCAATATCAATTATTTCATACCCACGTAAGTCTGCAAGACTCCTTGATGCATGAGATTTAATATAATGAACCTGTCTAAGGAACAGAAAAGAAAATGAGAAATGGTGCCCATAAAAAGAAGAGAAAATGCAATCTGTGATGAAGCAACTGGCAGGTAAAGAACAACCAAATTCAACCCGATATGGAAGGGCAAAGGATACAAGAAAACTTAACATAACACATTACATCTGACAAGAGCCAAAGGTAAAGGAAGCAAACTAGACACAATTTAACAAACAAAATTATTACAGTTAAAAAAATAATACTCAGTAAAAGCCGAAGGCMATCAAGAAAGTAATTTAGTTCTTCAAATGTTAGATGAGCTAACAAAACAGGGTGCTGAAAGAGAGCAGATGCTTTGGGGTCTACTCCACTTTTCTTGACTTTGTATTTGCTCTAAAATCATTAGTAAAACTTTCAACAGTTACTGATCAAAAAAAAAAATCTAGAATGTGAAAGAGGGACATAGGTGAAGGTATTATTGTGCAAGCCAGTAAAAAGATCAGTCGATTCCTGAACTACTCTTTGGGAGGTCAGTTCTCTCCTTACACATTTGGCATGTCCCTCTACAACAAATTTGACCATTCAATCTTGGCCTTCCAGTTCAGTGGAGTACACAGGTTTTTCAACACAGGACATGGTTCCCCACACAAACTGTTGGAGCCAGGAAAGGAGAAAATAATGTTCTTTTGGACGGGACCACCAATATAAACCATTAAAAAATAATTTGAGGGTCAATCACTCTATCAAGATGGTCGCCCACCTCCTATCACTCCCAACATTTATAAAAGTGTTTTACAAAACTTAGGGTTAGGGGTGCAACTCGGGACGGCTCGGGTTGGACTTTTGTCAAATCTTGAATGGGTGCAGCCTGGAGCCCAAGCCTGAAACAGTGTAACATGTTAACTCAGGCCAACCCAAGTTGCACCCTTAGCAAAACTTTGGTTTTGCCCTGGTTGGACCATTTGGAAAGAAAAGATTTGTCTATTTTAAATGAATTGAGAAAAGATAAAAATTATTTGGAACATGGCCCACTTCGCACCTCTTGGGGTATGTGGAGGGAGAGAAACAAAGGAACTTATACAGACGCATTGTAATTCCAGAATAATACTAACAAATATATGCTCTCTGATCTTGAAGTAGTTGATAGCACATCCAAAATGCAAAAACGTTGGTTGATTGTCATTTGGTGATGATTTCAACCACTTTAGATTTATTGCCGATGCTGTTTAATGATTGCTCTGTATTTTATACTTAATAAGAAGTGTTTCCATTTTCTGTTTTAGGTGAAACATCATCACCATTGACTATGATCTCCTTTTCCTATTTAACTTTTTACCAGTAACAGACGCATTGTAATTCCAGAATAATACCAACAAATATATGCTCTCTGATTTTGAAGTAGTTGATAGCACATCCAAAATGCAAAAACGTTGGTTGATTGTCATTTGGTGATGATTTCTACCACTTTAGATTTAGTTGCCGATGCTGTTTAATGATTGCTCTGTATTTTATACTTAATAAGAAGTGTTTCCATTTTCTGTTTTAGGTGAAACATCATCACCATTGACTACGATCTCCTTTTCCTATTTAATTTTTTACCAGTAACAGACCAAGGTATTCATTCTTTTCAGTAACAACTCAAAGCATTATTATATTAAAGAATGATTTATACAATAGAAATGTGTCAAAACACCCCAACCTATGTGCTAGAAAAAGCTACTCTCCCCTTTCAAAGAGATCAAGTTACTTGTAAATCAAATAAAGAATAAAGGAGCAAAACTGATCCAAAAAAGAATAAAGGAATACAATACCAAAATAAAATCATAGTGCACAAACAACCCCAAAGGTAATATCCAGGCTAGCCATAATGCTACCTGCTCCATATAATAAAACAAGCCTACCAATTACATTTTTAATCTCTACCCCAGTTGATAAGACCCCAGTACATTTCAGTTCTATGCAGACAACCCCATCCAAAGAATCGGTTGTTTGGCTTACTGATCTTTGGATCCACCTGAATGTTGTACTCATGCATCTTACAAAGATATAGCATCCCAGATAATATGTATAGACAAGGTCCTGGACTATCCATTTTAATAGTTTAGTCTCTTAATAGATCCCAAGTATACACTAGAGCACCAACAGGCAGAAGCAGCTTCTGAATACCCAAGGAGAACATACACAAAGAAAAAAGTATAAGAGAGAGCATAATTGAAAACCAATACAATAACATATAGTCAGATGTACAAAACCTGGTTAGTAGTCAACACTGGTTGCCCTTCAAGCCGCCTTAGGCGATACTTGAAAACAGTGAATCCAGAAACACCTTTCTCAGCCCAATATTGAACGACCTACGTAAGTGCATATATAGAGCAGAATTGATTTAGAAAATACCAAAAATGTATGCATGACAGAAATCTAAGAAAACATTACAAAGTTAAAGTGCACAGCTGCAGAAACAAGAAAATCCCTCTACAGTATTCTTCAGGGTATGCCAGACAATATTGCAATTGCTCTTGGTATCCTGTTGATTTACCATTTTCTTTGGCTTGTCTTAAATCTTTTTCACCTCTTCTGGTTTAGTTGTTAACAAGATTGATGGGATATATAAATAAAAGAAGAGCGAAATTAAGTATACACCACTAGATTAACAAAAAAGGCATTTTCACAAATTTTCACAAAAAATTCCCTCATGAACGAAACTGCCAAAACTCTGAAAACTAAGGTTTTATGACAAACTATCAAAAGTGCTCTTAAAGGTAGGGGTGGCAACAAACTGAGCTTTTCACAAGCTGCTCGAGCTCAGCTCGGCTCGATTTCAACTAAGATCGAGCTCGAGCCCAATTCATTGGCTCGATTATTAAACAAGCCAAGCTCGAGCCTACTAGAGCTCGACTCGTGAGCTGGTTCGAATATATATATATATATTTGATACTTAATATATATAATAAAATTATAGAAAATAATATATATAATAAAAATATTATAATTATTAATTATTATAATTCTTAATTTTTTAAATATCAAATAAAAATATTTTTATATATAATTTTTTATTTTTATAAAAGATTTTTCTCAAAATCCAGCTCGAGCTCGAGCCTTGTAGAACAGTCTTGAGCCGAGCTCAAGCCTGGTAGTATTCGGCTCGGCTCGGCTCGAATCCACCCCTACTTGAAGGAATATATATAGAGAGAGTTAGAGACCCAAAATATGCAGCTTGTCAAATTTGGTAGGGATTAGAGTAGATATTGCACAAAAAGACAAATTTTACCAAAAAAGAAAACTTCAGGTTCTAAGTAAATTGAAGAACATACATGGATAAATTAAAAAAAAAAGGTAATAATTCCTCTTGAAACACAAACCTGATCAATATGAGGAGCTTTCCTCATGCTCCCAACAAAAAGAAAAGCCATGTAGAATTGTGGATAACAACAATGACAAAACAATTTTGATCAAAAAAAACAATGACAAAACAAAAAGAAAAATCAAGAGGAATATTATCCCGGTACCCTTGTCTGCAACCTTCACACAACAACATTACTCAGTGTTTGAAAACTGAGGAGATACCGGGCCGGATGGCCCTTAGTTGAAAGAGATTTTATTTATTAATTTAAAAACAGATTACAAGTGCTTTAGCTACTCTGCAGTCCAGAGTACGACAATAAACAATTTGTCCCAGATTACAACGATAATCATATCTCTATTTTGCTACAACCAGCTACAGTTTTGCTAGAGTATCTGCCAATCCATTTGCTGTCCTTTCAACCCACCCAAATTTAGAGTTAAAACTCTTTGCAAGAAGACCAATCTCCCTGAATGTGAATCTATATTTCCATTGTGCTGAGTTTACTTGCTTAGCACAAGAGATGGCAAATAGTGAGCCTCCTTCTACTTCCAGCTCTCTAGCTTCTAACTGTACTGATAATTTCAAGCTTTGTAAGAGGGCCATTATTTCTGCCTGAACTGAATCTCCATACCCAATTGGTCCAGAGAACAAAGCCACAACTTCTACATGATGATTTCTAAAGACTCCCCTTATACCTGCCCTCCCTGGGTTACCAAAAGAACTACCATTAAGGTTCATCCTCAATTCACTTGGCTCTAGAGGTTTCCAATCCATCTTCATAATTTATTTATGCATATCCATTTGTGACACTTCCTTCCATTTCTTTATTATTTCCTTTGTCGAGACAGTATTGAATATTTCAACAGTTTTTTTTGATAAATGATAGCATTTTATTAATAAAGAGGGATTACATCAAGATTTAGAAGACAAACTATCCCAATAGAGACGCGAGGTGCAACCCCATTCTACAATGACCCAAATTACAACTGAGCCAAGAACAGTTCAGACTAAAACACCCCCATCTTCGCAAAATAATCAGCCATTCCATTTTCAGACCGCCTTTCCAATTTCACAAGAACTGTCATGTCTCTAACTAGCCACTTGAACTTTTTCATAGATTCGTTGTACTTCCTACTCACTGTTTCTGGTTCCTTCAGTCACCCTATTATCAATTTAGAGTCACCTTCAATGAGTCTATCACAATTTAGCTGTCTCAAAAGCTGTACTCCTTGCAAGACTGCTTGGAACTCAGCAAAAACTGAATCCCCCATTCCAACCGGGCCTGAGAATACAGCAACAATGAGACCTTCATTATTCCTAAAGACCCCTCCTACACCAGCTGAACCTGGGTTCCCTAGGCTGCTGCCATCAAAGTTCAACTTAATAAAGCCTCCATCAGGAGGTTCCCGAGCTACCACCGGTCTCTTCCTTGCAGTAGAACTTCTAGCTACAGCTCCCCAGATTTCCACATGAAATCTGAGAACAAGTTTGAGGCTTTAACCCAATGTATAGATCTATTAAAAATGCACTCCCAAACTGCCTCCATACTCCTTTCTGTCACTAAAGACTCTACCATTTCTCTCCTCCCACTCCGTCCATATAACAGCAGCCCTAAGGCATCTCCACATGACTTTACCACTCTTCTTTCGCCAACTGAAGATCGTGGAGTCAAAGAGATTTCCAATCAGCAGAGGCACAAACCACCTATGACCAAAAAAATCAAAAACCTTTCCCCAGAGGCCTACAACAAAAGGGCAAGAAATTAGAAAGTGGTAACAGCTTTCACCACAAGCTTTGCAAAGGATACACCAGTTTGGGGAAAGGCACAGGGTAGGTCTTCTTTATTGTAAGGTGTCCACAGTGTTTATTTTCCAAGAAARACTTCCCAACAGAAAGCCCCAACCTAGGGAGGGAGAGGTTTGGACCAGAATTCTTTAAACGGACAAGGGGAGTGAATCGGGGATGAACACAAGCAAGAGAAGAAAGAAGCACAGGAAAACAAACCCCTAGGATGTGGAGTCCAAATACAAACCCCTACCTCCCACCTGACCRAGTGGACTTCATCAAAGTAATTCTGCCTCGCAACGAAATATAATTTCTCTTCCAAGCTGCCAATCTCTTGGTACACCTCTCCACAACTGGTTCCAAAACCTAGATTCTCTTGGATTATCCCCTGAAGGCAAGCCAAAATACTTCAAAGGCCAGCTTTCCAATAGCACAACCTAGGGACTCTACTACTATAATCACTTCTTCCTGCCTCAAATTTACCCCTACCACACACCTCTTCTCAAATTTGATCTTTAGCTTGGAAATATGTTCAAACAACTTAATCACCTCCTTCAAGTGCCTTGCTTTCCTAGGATCTCCATCCACACAGAAAATGATTGTATCATCCGCAAATTGTAAGTGAGTCACTACCGTATTACTCCTACCCACTCTCCAAACTCTAAAAAATCGAACTTGTCTGCCCTTTGGAGAATTCTGCTAAAGACATCCGCAATGAGAGTAAAAAGAAAAGGGGAGAGGGGGTCCCCTTGTAGCTGGAAAAAACTCCCTTACTACACCATTCACTAGCACCAAATAATGACAAGTTTTCAGGCACCCTACAATCCAACTGCACCATCTTTCCCCAAAACCATAGCACTTCAAGACTTCCAAAAAGAATACTCAATCCACCATATCATAAGCCTTCTCCAAATCTAACTTACACACAAAGCCTCCCTTCCCCCTTCTCTTAAAATCCTCAAACATTGCCAACAAATCATATTTGGTTATCTCCCAACAGTATATCCATCAAGAAAGCGGCCCTCCTAATTTCTTCCCGTTCAAAGTCTCTTTCCAATTGATTTGCCACTCTTAGATCCAGCCTAGGCCAATCCAACCCTTCCACCATGACTCCTCCCTCACCCACCTTTTTATAGACTTCCTTAAAGTGATCAACAAAACATGTTGCAATTTCCTCTAGGTCCCTTGAGATTTCACCATTTACTTCCAATCTATCTATAAAATTTTTCCTTCTATTACCATTGGCTATTGCATTTTTTTATCAGAAACGATAACTTTCATTAGAGATAAATTAACCTGAACTACAGAATTCAACTCTTATTAGAAAAGGTTGATCCAATAAAACATCAAACATTACAGCACTACCCAATAAAAACTCTCCCTTACAGTCCCTTGTTTTGCTAGGGCGTCAGCAAAACCATTTGTTGATCTCCTTACCCACTTGAACCAAGCACCCACCTCCCTTGTTATGCTAAGAATTTCCCTTACCAGCTGTCTATATTGCCAAATTCCCAGCTGCCCTGATTGCATCCACCCAATTACCAACCTGGAGTCTCCCTCTATCTCAATCTGCTATAGCCCCAATTGTTTGGCCAGTTTTACACCTTGATGTAGTGCCAAGATTTCCRCWCTTAARGAATCTCCAACTCCTATTGGACCTGAAAACAAAGCCATTATCTTGCCTTCATTATCTCTGAACACACCTCCTATACCAGATGGACCTAGATTACCTATAGAACTTCCATCAAAGTTCAGTTTCACCCTTTGTTGTGCCGGTGGGGACCAAACTTCCTGTATCATAGCTTTGGAAGTAGTAGTAGATGCCACAATACCCCAACTTCTATAAATGTCTTCAACTGAGAAATCCTTAAAAAGGTCACAGGATTTCAACCAATGGATAACCTTRGTAATTATTCCTTCCACAACCTCTTCCTTGGATCTACATCTGCCTTTAAAGATCCAATTGTTTCTTTCCTCCCACACTGACCACAATACAACAGCTCTAGTGGCTCTCCACATAATCCTTCC